TCAGGTGCTCGTGAGACTGCGCTCTCAGGAACTGCGTCGGCTTCGGCCTCCCACACCTTCACTCTTGACTCTGGAGCGTCTCGCTCTTTCTTTCGGGACCGCACCACACTTACGCCGCTTAGTCGGCCGGTTGCGGTTTCCCTGGCTGACCCCTCTGGGGGTCCTGTCCTGGCTTGCTTCTCCACGGTCCTCCCGTGTCCGGCGGCTCCCTCTGGCACCCTGTCTGGTCTGTACCTCCCCTCGTTCTCTAAGAACTTGGTGAGTGGTGCTGACCTACAGGATGTGGGAGTCCACCAGTTCACCCCTGCTAGTCAGCGAGTGACGCTCTGCACGGAGGCTAGCACGGGTCCTCACCTGGCTACGTTTACACGTCAGCCAGGGTCGAGCCTGTACACACTGACCACTGCTTCTCCTCCAGGTGCTGAGTCTAGTAGAGTCCCTTCGTCTAGTCAGATGTTTGCTGCAGCGTCCAGGTCTGGTCCTGAGTCTGCCCCCTGTTCGTGTCGCCGTCTGTCTCACGAGACCCTCCTCTGGCACCACCGTCTTGGCCACCCCTCTCTGCTTCGGCTCAAAGGCATGGCCTCCCGTCTTCTTGTGTCTTTGTCTCCCCCGGTCTCTACCTCCCCTTCCTCAGGGCCCTGGCCCTGCCTGTGTCCCCTGTGTCGAGGGGCGCCAGCGTGCTGCCCCTCACTCCTCCCAGTTTCCTCCGACAGAGGCCCCGTTGCAGACGCTTCACATGGACGTGTGGGGCCCTGCCCGTGTCCGTGGACTCGGTCACGAGCGCTACTTCCTGCTGGTGGTTGACGAATACTCGCGTCACACCATAGTCTTCCCCTTGCGCAGCAAGGGTGATGTCACTGAGGTGCTGATCGACTAGATCCGCGCTGCTCGTCTCCAGCTCAGGCAGAGCTTTGGCTCGGACTTTCCTGTGTTGCGTCTGCACTCGGACAGAGGCGGAGAGTTCTCCTCTGGCCTTCTGCGTGCCTACTGTCGTGCGCGAGGCATCCGCCAGACCTTCACGCTTCCGAACTCCCCGCAGCAAAATGGGATTGCAGAGCGCTGTCAAAAGTTAGAAGAAGAAAGAGGGTTGAACTAGCAGAAATGGGGACACAAATAGCAAACCCTAGAAGGGTTGTACTCGCTATAGAGCACCCCACTACAGGCTAGAACATAAGAATAACATTCTGACAAGCGCCGCATTGGCATGGTCATGGACGTCGCTCGTACGTCCATGATGCATGCGGCTGCCCCCCATTTTATGTGGCTGTTTGCGGTCAAGTACGCAGCGCATCAGATCAACCTCCACCCCAGGGTCTCCAGGCCGGAGACCTCCCCAGCGCTGCTGTGGACGGGGAAGGTTGGCAACGCGTCGGCGTTCCGGGTCTGGGGATCTCGGGCGTTTGTCCGCGACTTGTCTGTGGACAAGCTGTCCCCTCGCGCTGCTCCCTGCGTCTTCCTGGGGTTCCCCCCCGACGCCCCTGGGTGACAGTTCTACCACCCCACCTCTCGACGTGTTCTGTCCTCCCAGGACGTCACGTTCGACGAGTCGGTACCCTACTACCGCCTCTTCCCCTACCGCACTCCGTCCCTCCCCCCGCCCCCGCTCTTCTTGGTACCAAGTCCCCCCCCGGTAGACCCCCTCCCCCGTCAGGGTCCTGCCCCTTCAGGTGTGTCCCAGGTAGACGCGATCGAGCCTGTCGAGGTCACTGGTGACTCTGGTGCTGCTGCAGGAGCTGAGCCTGGGGGTGCTGAGACTGGAGGTGCTACGCCTGTGGGTGCTGAGCCTGGGGGTGCGGAGTCTGGAGGTGCTGAGCCTGGGGGTGCTGAGCCTGGGGGTGCTGAGCCTGGGGGTGCTGAGCCTGGAGGTGCTGAGCCTGGGGGTGCTGTGCCTGGGGGTACTGAGCCTGGGGGTGCTGAGCTTGGGGGTACTGAGCCTAGGGGTGCTAGGCCTGGAAGTGCCGAGACTCGGGGTGCTCCGCCTGGAGGTGCTTCGTCTCGCCGAGAGCCACTCTCTCCTCAGGAGCTACGTGAGTGGTTTGCCAGGCGCTGGAGGCGTGCTGCTGGTGCGGGAGGTTCTTCGGCTGCAGAGGGTACTGCTGCCGAGCGTCCCGGCGGTGCTCGTACTGTAGGTGCTGGAGCTGCTGGGTCTGAGGGTTCTCCTGGAGCTGGTGCTGCTGAGGGTGTTGACGCTGAGACTGCCGCTGGAGGTCCGTTTGGTGGTGCTCCTGGTGGTGCTGCTGGAGGTTCTGGAGCTACTAGAGGTGCTGCTCGAGCGGGTACTCCTGCTGGGGGTACTGGTGCTGTCCCTGCTGTTTCTGGCGTCGCCGCGCGGCCCCGGCCGTACTTCGTTCCGCACCTGCAGCAGGTTTTTGGTCTTACACCTTCTCCTGGTCCTCCTCCTCCTCCCTTAGAGGGTCCACTGCCTGTCTCATCACAGTCACAGCTAAAGCCTGCCTCACCTTTGCCTGCTCCTTCTCCCTACGCAGGTCCGACTGGAGGTCTTAGTGAGCGTCGTGAGCCTGCGTCTCGTCCTGCATCGCCTGTTCGTTCTACGCGCACTAGTGGTCGTGGTTCGCGTCAGTGTCCTCTTCCTGTCCCTGGCACGCACCGGATGTCTCTGCGTCCGTCTACTGCTCCTCTGCGTACCCCTTTGCCTTCTCCTCCTGATTCCTCTCTTCCTGCTCTTGCCGACCCGGAGTCGGACTCTCTTCGTGCTGCCAGTCCTACTGTCACGCGTCTTCTTGCTAGTGCTGTCACTGACCCTTCTTTCGAGTCTTCTGCTGCGTCTGCCCTTGTCACTGAGCTTGTCGACTTTGCTGCGCGCTGTCGTCTAGACTACACTTCTAGTCTTATCGCTGAGTCTGAGTCTGCCTGTCCTCCGTCCGTCGAGGGTGAGTGTGCCCTTGGCACGGACGTCCTTGAGGACAGGCAGAAGGAGTTCCAGTGTCTGGCCGCCGCTTCACCTCATCTCGCGTCTGTACTGCTAGCCCCTGAGGGAGACCCGTATGCACTAGACATCCCGACTCCGCGCTCTTACGCGGAGGCGATAGAGGGTCCCTACTCCTCTCAGTGGCAGGCAGCTATGGATGCAGAGATGGCTTCCTGGAAGTCCACAGGCACCTACGTCGACACTGTTCCCCCTCCTGGGGCGAACATCGTTAGTGGCATGTGGATTTTTAGGGTGAAGCGGCCGCCGGGTTCTCCGCCTGTCTTCAAGGCGCGTTACGTGGCTCGTGGCTTCAGTCAGCGGCAGGGGGTTGACTACTTTCAGACCTTCTCCCCCACCCCGAAGATGACCACTCTTCGGGTACTGCTGCACGTTGCTGCTCACCGTGACTACGAGCTGCACTCTCTCGACTTCAGCACAGCTTTCTTGCAGGGCAGCCTGCACGAGGAGATCTGGCTGCGTCGCCCACCTGGCTTCACTGGGTCTTTCCCTCCTGGTACCCAGTGGAGTCTCCGGCGTCCAGTCTACGGTCTCCGCCAGGCGCCACGTGAGTGGCACGGCACACTGAGGACTACGCTTGCGGCACTTGGGTTTGCTCCTTCTACTGCCGACCCGTCGCTGTTTCTGCGCACCGACACCTCTCTGCCGCCGTTCTACATCCTCGTGTACGTCGACGACTTGGTCTTTGCCACAGCGGACACTACTGGACTCACTTACGTGAAGTCCGAGCTGTAGAAGAGACACACGTGCACTGACCTGGGTGAACTGCGCAGCTACCTTGGCTTGCAGATCACCCGGGACAGAGCACGCCGCACCATTACCCTGACTCAGTCACACATGGTGCAGCAGGTCCTTCAGCGCTTCGGCTTCACGTACTCCTCGCCTCAGGCCACTCCTCTGCCTACTCGCCACTCGCTCTCAGCTCTGCCTTCGGATGAGTCCGTAGAGTCGAGTGGCCCGTATGCAGAGCTTGTTGGCTGCCTCATGTACCTGATGACCTGCACACGACCTGACCTTGCATACCCTCTCAGCATTCTCGCACGCTATGTTACTCCTGGGAGACACCGACCAGAGCACATGGCTGCAGCGAAGAGGGTGTTGCGCTACTTGTGTAGTACGTCGGGCATGGGGCTAGTGCTTGGAGGGCGCAGTCCAGCGGTCCTCACTGGGCACGCGGACGCTTCTTGGGCTGACGACCAGGCTACGCAGCAGTCATCACAGGGTTACACCTTCGGCCTTGGCTCCGGCTCTGTCTCGTGGCGGGCTACTCGCTCGTCTTCTGTTCTCGGCTCCAGTTGTGAGGCTGAGATCTACGCCGGGGCTATGGCTACTCAGGAGCTTCGCTGGCTCACCTACCTGCAGACCGACCTTGGAGAGCCGCCTTGTTCTCCTCCAGTCCTGTACGTAGACAACAAGGCCATGCTGGCCTTGTGTTGAGAGAAGCGACTGGAGCACAGGACAAAGCACATTGCTCTCCGCTACTTTCTTGCTCGTGAGCTGCAGCAGCGTGGACAGTTGGGACTTGCGTACGTGGCCACTGAGGCCAACACTGCTGATGTCTTCACCAAGGCACTTGCGCCTTGTGATCATTAGCGTTGCTGCACGCAGCTGGGTCTTGTGCTTGTCTTGCCTCACTTGCTCACTTCTTGACCTTGCTTGTACCTTGACCTATATATACTCTTGCTCTTGCTTGCTTGACTCTTGTATATCTCTATATATGATCTTGCATGCGAACTGGCCTTGTGGCCCTTGACCTTGCGCTCGGAATGTGTGGTGACTTTGTGATCTGCCCTGAGCTTTGCTTTGCTTTGCTTGACTGGTCTTGTGACCCCTTGTTCTCCCCCAATTTGCCTATGGGGGTGTGTCCGAACTTTATAGCTTACTTATTTGTGTAGGCGATAGTGGGGTATGCCATAAGGGGTACAACCCAATTAGGGTTTCATATTTGTACTCACTTCATTCTCGTTCAGTTTTCCACAAACACATCTTCACACTTACCATTTAAGCTAGTGTTTGCTATGATTTCGTCTAGCTCAAGAATAGAACAATACCTCTAGTAGGGGTTGCTGCCATAACTCTTTGGAACACAAGGTGTGAGCGGAATATCCACAATCCGACATCCTCCCATTTTAAAATTCTCCAAATCATCCTCGCCTAATTTCTCATTGCTCTCAGAATCTTCATGTGCCGAAGCGTCAGAATATTATGTTTCTCTAGTCTGCAGTGGGGTACTCTATAGTGAGTACAATCCTTTAGGGTTTGCTATATGTATCCCAATGTTTGCTAGTGAACCTCTTCTTCTCTCATTTCACATTCCTCATTTCTTCACATGCTATCAGAGCATCTATGCTCCTGGCCTATGGTCCCACCTAACTGCTTCCGCTGCTACTCTGTGTTCTGCACGCCCCGTGGCGTGCCCCTTGCGCTACTCTTAGCTGCCCCGTTGCCGCCCTTCCAGGCCCCTCTCGGCCCCTTCGCGGCCCTGTTGCCGCCCTTCCAGGCCCCTCGCGGCCCCTTCGCGGCCCCGTCGCCGCCCCTTTCGCGGCCCGTCGCCGCCTTTACTGGCCCCTCGCGGCCCCTTCGCGGCCTCGTCGCCGCCCCTATCGGCCCCGCCGCCGACCCTAGCGGCCCCGTCGCCACTCCTATCGGCCCCGTCGCTGTCGCCAGCGGCCCCGTCGCCGTCGCCAGCGGCCTCGTCGCCGCCGCCAGCGGCCTCGTCGCCGACCCTAGCGGCCCCGTCGCCGCTCCTATTGGCCCCGTTGCCGCCGCCAGCGGCCCCGTCGCCGCCGCCAGCGGCCCTGTCGCCGACCCTAGCGGCCCCGTCGCCGCTCCTATCGGCCCCGTCGCCGCTGCCAGCAGCCCCGTCGCCGCCGCCAGCGGCCCCGTCGCCAACCCTAGCGGCCCCGTCGCCGCCGCTAGCGGCCCCGTCGTCACCGCCAGCGGCCCCGTCGCCGCCTCCAGCGGCTCCGTCGCCGCCTCCAGCGGCTCCGTCGCCGCCTCCAGCGGCTCCGTCGCCGCCACTTGCGGCCCCGGCCCCGCCCCGGCCATGCCCCGTCACCAGCCGCGGCGCACCGGGGGCACGTCCACCGCCCCCCCCCCCCCCCCCTTTTCCCGTCGCCCGTCGCGACTCCTTCGGGGGCGGGGGGGGGGGGGGGGGGGGGGGGGGGGGCGAGCGTCGCCCCTTCTGTTGCCTGCTTTGGCGCCCAAGGAGGCCGCGCGTCGCCCCCCCCCCCCCGTAACCTCCCTACCCGCCATCCCGCCCTGCCCTGTGTTAGGGTTTGGGGGTGGCGAGTGGGGGGTGGCGGGTGTGTGGTCTCCCCTGCTCCTCCTCCTCCTTTGTCTCCCACTGCTGCAGCTGCCGCTGAGGGGGGTGGGTGTGTGGGAGTCGACGGAGTGGTGCTAGGGGGTGGGGTGTGAGTGAACCTAGGGGTGCAGTAGGGGGTGTGTGAAATGGGGGTGGGATAGTTTGGGGAGGTTGAAGGGGGTGGCCGTCGTGAAGCCAGCAGCTCCAGTCGCCCGTGAGACCGTTGCGCCAGTCGACCGTTGCGCCAGTCGCCCGTGAGCCCGTTGCGCCAGTCGCCCGAGAGCCCGTTTCTCCAGTCGCCCGTGAGTCCGTTGCTCCTGCCGCTCAGACTTAGCCGCGGAGCCAGTTACTCTAGTAGCCCGTGTGCCAGTTGCTCCAGTTGCCAGTGTGCCAGTTGCTCCAGTTGCTCGTGTGCCAGTTGCTCCAGTTGCGCTGTGTGCCAGCAGCTTCAGGTGCCGCCCACTACCTCCTCTCCTCTCATAGTCCCTCCTCCTCCACACTTGCCCTCTGCGATAGCCTCTAGCTTTGCTTACATTTGTGAACTTTAAACTGTTGCTTCTTGTACTTGTGCTCAGAATGTGTGGTGACATTGTGATCCACCATGAGCTTGTTCTGCTTTGCTTGCTGTGCTGATTACACCCCACTTTGACTATGGGGGTGTGTCAGAATATTATGTTTCTCTAGTCTGCAATGGGGTACTCTATAGTGAGTACAACCCTTTAGGGTTTGCTATATGTATCCCAATGTTTGCTAGTGAACCTCTTCTTCTCTCATTTCACATTCCTCATTTCTTATCACGAAGGACTAAGCACTCTACAAAGAAACCGCAACGGTGCATATCGTCTTCGCTTCATTCAGTTTGACTCCAACGGTGCTCCTTCGATTCATCATGACCTAAGCGTGTCTTGGCTTCTTCGAAACCCCTTCCGTAACTGTGCTCCCCGCCACATAGCGTTCTTTTTGTTGATGGAAGATATCCCTCACGGGGTAGGGGAATAATGGGTTTTCCTACGTACTCCTTGTTACGAAGAGTAATGAATGAAGCATCACTGTGCACTCCTAACCACAGCAATCGAGCACGCAGTGCCGAGGCTGAAGACGAAAAGGCGGAAGTGGCGCGAAGTGTCGTACGGTTACGAAGCATCTGGACCGTCAAGGCAGATGGCATCTGGCAGCAGCAGTGGCGAGGAATCCTACCCAGGCAGTTTCGTAACCGTCTGGAGTTGCACGGTTGGGTTTCGCTGCAATAAGGGAATGTACTTGTTAGAGTACATGGCTAGCCTAGGCCGATTCGAATTCTCTTTTACTCTTATTTATATTCCTATATTTGCATGTTCTCATTATCTCAAACATTTTACATTCACTCTGCTATAGAGGTCAAGGGCCCACCACCATTGCTCTGACGTATGCGAACCTTCCTAAGGGGACCCTAGGGACGATCAACTTTTGATCGCAACATGGTATGAGAGCGACTTGGGAGTCCTTCGCACTGCCACCTCCGAAATCTTCGACGATCGGAAAGTGGCGTTCGGCACACGCTCGCGTGTGAGCATGGCAAGAGGATCTCGTGGTCAGACGAATCTGACGGCTGAAGCGCAGCCCAACTCGGCTGCGACGAGCGAAGAAACGACGACGATTGGAACCGCCGTCCTCGCACAACTGCTTCAGCGACTCACCAGCTTGGAGCAAGGACTCCAAACATTGCGGAATTGCAACGCGAGAAATTCTTCCCAATCCTCTCAACCGGCCTTGAATGGTCACAATACCGCCCCGCACACCTTCTTCCTCGACACAAATGGCTCAACTCCCAAAACTCCCCGTCCCAGCGAAGAAGTAATTCTTTTTGCGCAATCAAGGTTTCTGAGCATATATAAAATAGAGACAAGTGTGTGTTTCGACAGCAGAGACTTCTCTATGTGAAGCTTCGAGCTGGAGCTGCTGCTGTAAAACGCACAGACATTTCACTATCTTGACAAGAGCTACTTGGGACCCGCTGAGGATACCGCTGACGCCCAAGCGCAGTCGTTAATGGCGTATGGCGTCCTCCTACGGAACATGTCGCCGGCGGAGCAGTTGAGTATTCGTTCATACAAAACGACCTCCGTTCCAACCCTCGACGCTTGGCACCACCTGAATGGCGTGTACCAACCGAAAGACTCGGTTTCATCGAGCCGCCTGCTCCAACAGCTATTGGAGACTAAAATGGCCCTAAGGGAGAAGGCCAGCAGCTACATAAACCGATGTCGGAGCTTACGCGATCAAATCGAGAATCTAGGAAGCACGATCCCGGAGGAGATATTCGTGAATATCGAGCTTCAAAGGCTCGGCCTAGAGTGGCGGCCCTGTAAGGCGCTTCTCCGACAGCAGGGGGTCATCTAGGAGGCCGCCCGACGCGCACCCCTTCTTGTCAAACAAAGGGATATGGACCAGTAGCGACCAGCGCCGCGACGAGATCGGGAATGCCCTGCCTCTACGCCGACAACACAGAAGAGCAACGGCCGCGGCGCCTTTACTGCAAGCTTTGCAAAAACCTTGGGCACCTGGCAGATTGATGCAAATCGTGATCTCGCCCTCGTCAGACCACCCCGAGCAACTAGTATGGCCAAGAAGATGCGCGAAACGACACGCGTCAAGCCCAGGGGTACCAACCCCCATTGCGCAACCTGAACCTAGCGGTTCAGCATCAGCAGCATGAGCCATCACTGACTACCCGAGTCTGCAACGTCATGGGGAACATGACAATGACAAGCGGATCGCGTCGTCCCCGCATGCGCACGCCATCACCTGTGCTAGCACGTCACCCAATCAGAGCGTTCTCAAATAACAATCCGTTCAGCACGCGCCACGACTTCAGCAACGACGCTTGCCAAGACTGGAATCTTCCAGTCCCTCTGCTTGAAATCCCCCCGCACGTGCCTGATCAATGGGTGGCTTCGATCGATTGGATCTCGCGCGAGCAGTTTCTCAAGTCCGACACACCACACATCGTTACTCCGTGACGAGTGCTGCTCGCCCGTAACGACAACATGCGCTACAACACGTGGTACCTGGATAGCTGCTGTGGGCAGCATATGGTGCGCTCTGAGCGTTACATATCCAATGCCATCCCCAATTCCGCCGTGACCTATGTCACCGTGGCGAACAACATACGACTCCACGCAAGCGCGTAAGGAATCGTGGTGCTCAAGGCTCGAGGAAGCAGGATGCACATCACGCTGAACGATGTACTGATTGTGCAGAACTTGCGCTTTAATCTTCTCTCGACAGCGCAACTCATGGACTGCGGAGTTGACGTCAGCACCGACCACAAAACGTGCAATATTCTGCTTCACTACACCGCCCCGAATAAATCACGCAAGCAGATTGGAAGAGCACACTCCGAAAATGGAGTTTACATCATCAAATTTGACATTCCCGACTGCTGGGGCGATTTGCAGGAACTCATCGACCTCGCTCCCCTGTGCTTCGAGCACATTCACCGTTCAGACTGGAAACACCCTGACGGAAGACCGTGGGTGCCACACCACCCACACCCACGTGAGCTCGCGCTACACGACCCTGACCCAGACGCCATCTACATGGATTGCCACACCCCCACTAGCTCCACCAGCACGATTCCCGGCCGTGGGATCGCCGCCATTGCCGAAGCAGAGCGAGAAGTGCCGCCCGAAGAAGGAATGTCCAACCCAGAGTTGGAAATCGCAACGCGCGGAGTTTTCGGCACAGAAGAATATCCCCCCCTTGGACCTGCATCACAACATCTTCAATGCATGCTGCGCGGCACTGGCGTCGGCACCCTCGTTGAGCACGGCTTCTCGCGACCTTACACAAAGGAGAAGTTCATAGAGATCTACTCTCACTAGCGCGACTCTATGAAGAAACTCACAGTGGCGCAAGAAGAGGATCTGGCGCAACGCGAGGCGGAAGAACTTCTCTAGCGGAGCATTGCAGAGTCACGCGGCACATTCGCCTGGAGCGGATTGGGTGGAGAGGAGAGCGCCTCCAATGAAGGGGGGTGGGGAAGCGCTGGCGGATGGGGCACAAGCGGCACCAGCGGATGGGGAGCAGCAACTAGTGGCAACACTGGCGGATGGGGCGCCGCATCTGGCGGTGAGACAAGCGGCTGGGGCACTTCCGGCGAATGCTGGGGAGCTTCCCGCGAGGAACAAAGGGGGGGAGAAGAAGAAAACGAGGCAAAACCTCCAGTTGTTCCTCTTGGTCGCCCTCTACACTGCCTTGCACCCGCACTACCCCCACCTGACATCCAGCCGGAAAGTGACCTTTGGGACACCATCGACTGAGGCAACGAGCCCTCGACCCCGCGGCGCACCGTCTACGGGCCCGCCCCTTAGCCGTGCGAACAAACCTTTGTTTCTGGAACCATCCCCTGGACTAATATTCCCTTCTCTGTAATTTTGGACAGGGAATTCTTGGCGTTGATGCTAACGACGGCGAAGAAGAAGAAATTGAAAAATCTGCGGCGGAACCTGCCCAAGTGCCTGACAAAGACCCCGAAGCAGCGCGCGCGCATGCTACATGCGCACCTCTGGATTCCGCGCTAACGATGCCCTTTCGCATCAGCGCCTCGGCCACCCTTTGCGCGTAAACGCTAAAGAACTGCATCGAATCTGGCATATTTGCATCTGGCGCACTCCTGCACCCTGATGGCACCGAAGTGAGAGGCGCGACACACCTGCGCAATTGCACCGTCTGCTTTGAAGCTGCGCTGAGTCACCAGCCATTC